TTTTCTCATGCAAAAAATGAGAAAGCCATCGACTTGTAGATAAATAGTGTGGAGCACCATTAGTTATTGTTTTCACTATAGTTAATCAACTCTGGTAAAAATTGATAACAATATTTGATTAGTGAAAAACAGTATACATATAATATCCACCACTGAAGCACATTGGAGTTTGACACTTTGGCTTAGTTTGGTAGGGATTTTGGGAGGCTAAAATCAATTTTTTATTTAACTAAAGCTATTTAGTGTGTTTGGTAAATACCTCAAAAAATGCTTCCTAGAGAATTTAGGAGGAATTTTGGGGGGAAATCGAAAGCAGCTTGTAGATTGTGCGGCAATCTACAATGGGCTAATTAATGAAATTTTTATTATTCCCAAAATATTCATTTAACGAAGGAAGTGAAAATAGTTATTGCAACAATGGCGCTCTATAACTACATTAGGAAGCATGATAAGCGTAATCGACATTTTCAAAAGGTCGAGGATAATCCAGATGATTTTGTTTATGAAGAGAATCAAGCATATGACAATAATGTAGAAGGGAATCAAGCTTTACTATCACTGAAAATGGATGAAGTCTGAGATCAAATTGCGGCAAGTTTAATGAACAAGACTTAATTCTTTCATGCTTCTGCCAGTTTTTGAACATTGAATGTACATTTTTGTTCAACAAATTGATTACTTAGTAATGCTCCTTTTAGTTGTAATTATATTGTAAATGAAGAAATGAAAAAGAAAAGAATTAATTATCATAAATTTATTGTTAAAAAACTCAAAATCATAGCATTATGTTTTTTTTTTTTAAGTTAAACAAGTATTTTCTAAATACCAAAAATAATTATATATATTTAAATTTTATATCATGTCTATTTTAGTCATTTTACATACCCACAACAATTCAACCTCAAAATTTACCAAACGCTATTACACTGATTTTGGAACCAGCATAGCTACTATAATTACAGCTTACCAAACATTCGACTGCTTCTTGTAACAGCTGTTTCTTCCTTCGACACAGCTAAAAGTAATTTTTTTAAAATCCACAGTACTACCAAAGTAAGCATTTGTTTCTTGTCAACAAAATAGCTTTAATACTCCTAAAAAGAAAATCAAATTACTAATGATCATTTCGACCCGCTGCAGCCGTAGTTGGCCAAGGATTCGTTGCAATAAACATGACATTCCGAAACACCGCCGGAGCCATCAAGCACCAAGCAGTGGCGGTGCGAAACGGCGCTGACTCGTCCGCCTTCTACAACTGCAGCTTCGAAGGCTACCAAGACACCTTATACACGCACTCCCTCCGCCAATTCTATAGGGATTGCGACATCTACGGAACAGTCGATTTCATCTTCGGCAACGCGGCGGCCGTCCTCCAGAAGTGTAACATTTATCCGAGGCTCCCGCTGCAGAACCAATTCAACGCCATCACGGCGCAGGGAAGGACCGACCCGAACCAGAACACGGGGACTTCAATCAACAACTGCACCATAAGGGCTGCAAATGACTTGGCCTCTTATAACAATGGCACCACAAAAACCTATCTGGGAATGCCATGGAATGAATATTCAAGAGCAGTTTATATGCAATCTTATGAGGATAGTTTGATTGACCCAGCTGGGTGGAGAGAATGGTCTGGGGATTTTGCGCTTAATACTTCGTATTATGCAGAGTTCAATAATACAGGACCAGGGTCTAATACTAGTAGTAGGGTCACTTGGTTGGGTTACCATGTGATAAATGAGACAGATGCTGTGAATTTTACTGTGTCTAGTTTCATTGTGGGTGATGTTTGGTTGCCCACAACTGAAGTGCCTTTCACAAGTGGGTTACTTTGAGTTGTACTATTTGGGGTGCGGTGATTCGAACGCCAGATCTCGTTATTAGAAGCGGGTGAAAATTTACACGTGAATTACTGTTATGTTAAACCTGCAACCATGCATGTAATGGGGAAAACTACTTTATTAGTTGTAGTCTTCTTTGTTTGGTTTTTTTAATTGTTTGTATAAGGACTAAGGTGAATTCAATGTAATTCCAATTCTCAAGAACCAGAAAAGTGGCAGATCTTGAATTGTAGTACTTTATTAATTAGTATTAAGTTGTGCACTTCTCTGTTTGTTTTTTTTTTTTCTTTTTTGTTTTTTGTTTTTGTTTTTTTTTTTTCAATAAAGGCGGTGTTCATGTAACTGAATCTTATTAAGAATATTCTTAGCGGGATTAATAATTTAGAAAACTATAAAAAAAATACAAAAACAATTTTTTTTTTTTGTTGGAAACATTAACCAATAAATTTCCTTAGAACTTTTACAGTAAATAGGATATATAGAGTTATGACAACTCAAATACAGCAAAGCTCTAAAATACTAATTTATAAAAGTTTTTCTGGGATAGTATACAGCAATGCCTTTCCCAAAAAGTATAATAGATTAGGAATAAATGCTTGTCCTAATTGGTAATTAATTGGCATGATCTATTTTAGGGAAAAAGTTCATTATGTTTCTTTCTTTATTGTGACAATTTACCGTTTATATCGAGATTAATACATATGTTAATCTTAATTACCGTTACCTTGGATTGCGAAATCTTTCCACCATATTCCTTCTAAAGTCAACCAACAATTATTTTAGCTATATTAATATAATTATACCACTGCTAATCTATGGATTACAAATTTATGACCCCTCAAATGTGAATTAAAAAAAAATCTACGTAATACATTATTCACTTTTGAAACCCCAACTATGTTTCTCATCCCATTTAGTCATTGTCTTATATATAGTCGCAAAAATTGTTAAAACCTTAATGACTCAACCCTGTGACACTAACATAATTAATTAAGGGTATAATAAAATCACACTTAAATAACTTAAAAAGTAAATATTGAAAAAAAAAAGAAATAATTATATGTGCTCTCTACAGTATACACCGGCTCATTGGCCAACAAAGTACTTATGTGAGGCTTAAATTTATTTAAATTCATTTTGAAGACGGGATTTATGTGAAATACCCTTCATTACCAAAATATGTGAGGTTAACATGGTTAATTCCATCTAGTTTTTAACGATTTTTGTGACTAAAGGGTCAAACATGAGATTAGCAGCATAGTGTAAGGTGTAATTTGTAACGTTTTAAAATTTATGAGTCAAAATGTGATAAAAAATAATTTGAGGGTCAAAATTGAAGTTACTCCTAACATTTAGGTAATGTTTGATTTGATGAAAATGGCATTAGAATAGTGTTCTACATAATCATGATCGTGCCAGTGTTGCATACAATCGAGTTCAGTAGTGTTAGAAATCCCAATTTTTTTCTCAACTCACGTGACAGTGAATTTGTCATATTTTCACCGATGGATGCAATTTTTATTATTTACGGGATAAAAGTTGTAGATGTCTAGTAGACATAGTGATCCAAAATCTAAATATATGACACCGATTGGTGAGCATGGCCAATATATTGCAAACCGTGTGTCAAGTTTAGTAAAAAGATTTGTAGGGCTTTGGTGTATTGTGTGCTGACAACAGTTTTCACCTTTCATTTTTTAGGAAACAGAAACAAACTTCTAGATTATCGTTCACCCTCTCCCTAATTCCCTCCAAATCGTGTTGTTTTATATTGGCAATCATAACCAACGCTTAAATTTGTCTTATTTTATTTCGAGCATTCTACTTTATAAATCAAAGCCTCACAAAAAATCTACCAAACCCCAATAGTCCGGAGAGGGCTCCAAAACTTCAAAACAGTACAAAGGAGAGAAAGGATCAAACCCTCTCTTTTTTTGTACACACACATGCATCGTTAAAGCAGCTGTTTCGGCCTCTCAGGGAGAGAGATCAATATATTCCTCAATTTTTAGTGACTAAAAAAGAGAAGCAACAAAAAAAAAGTGAAATTAAAATATATATTATAAATATAATATTCCACTTTTTTCCTTTTTTCTTCCCCTCCCTTTAGGTATTCAAGAGCTGCTACTTCTAGTTCTATATTGATTGAACAAAGAAAGGGAAAATGTCATACGGGGATGATGGTGAGAAGAGAAAGAGGTACGCTGTGATCGGCATCTCCTCCGTCTTGCTGGTGGCGATGGTGATCGCTGTGACGGTCGGAGTGAGCCTCAACAATGGTCAGTCCTCTCCGGCAAGCAGCAACAAGGACGGGTCCCATGAGGTTTCCGCCTCGATGAAGGCCATAAAATCCATATGTCAACCGACGGATTACAAAGAGGAGTGCATCAACAGCCTTAGTTCCGAGTCGGGAAACACAACCGACCCAAAAAAGCTCATCCAAGCCGGTTTCAAAGTCGCCATGAAGTACCTCTCGGAAGCCGCCAAAAAGTCTGTCGTCCTCCAAGACCTAGAGAAGGACCCAAGAGCCTCTAAAGCCCTAGGGCACTGCAAGCAACTGATGGAAAATTCCATTGACGATCTCAAGCACTCCGTCGATAAGCTTGGTGAGTTTGACATATCAAAATTCGACCAAATGCTGATGGACTTGAAAATCTGGCTTAGCGCCACGGTAACCTACCAGGAGACTTGCCTAGATGGCTTTCAGAACACCACAGGGGAAGCTGCGGAGAAGATGAAAAAGGCGCTGAAGACGTCGATGAGGCTCAGCAGCAACGGCCTAACAATGGTCTCCGAGATCTCCTCCGTCTTCTCCGACTTGCAGCTTTCGAGCATGGGAAGAAGGCTGTTCTCCGACGAGGAAGAGAGCGAGCTGCCGGTCCTCGGACATAGCGACGAGGCCGAGTGGTTCGGCGGTGGGGTTCGGAGGCTGATGGCGGTGCATCCCACGAAGGTGAAGCCGAACATTGTGGTGGCGAAGGATGGGAGTGGGAAGTACACGACCATAAACGAGGCCTTGAAGGATATTCCGAGGAGGAGTGAGAATACGTTTGTGATATATATTAAGGAAGGGGTTTACAAGGAGTACGTGACGATTGAGAGGAACATGACGAACTTGTTGATCATCGGAGATGGTGCCAATAAGACCCGGATAACCGGCGACAAGAATTTCATCGATGGATTTCCTACTAGTCTTACAGCCACCGTTGGTATGTTCTTCTTTCCTTTTTTTTTTGTCACTTTTTTGTTTTTTGCTTCCAAATATTGACTCGTTTTCCATCTCTAACAATAATTGAAAAATGATCTGTTTCCTTTTTCAAGAAATATGTCAAATCCATTTCTCTCTCATATTAACGAAATTGTGCTCATTTCTATACAAATTGGCATGTGTACTAGAAAACTTAATAGAGATGCTATAATATGGGAGAAGGTTGTTCCTGATTAGCTTTTTTTTATTATTATTATTTTGAAAAAAAACAACCTTTTTTCTCCTCTCAACTAAAAATAAATAAACTCTTCATTTCCTTTTTAATCAAATGTAGTAGAGCCACTACAAAATTTTAAAGACAAAAATTAAATCGGGGTCTACTATTATTCTACTATATATTATATAGTTAACTAATATATTTATTTGAAAACAGAAAATACCTCTAACATTATACATGATTAAAGTAAAGTACATGATAATTAGTTAACTGCATCATCAAACACATGACAAAACCATCCAAAGTTTTCATATGTTACATATAATATAAGATATCTTTGTTCCTCATGAAATTACTGGGTCCAACTTCTAAATTTTATAGATAAAATTTATTAAAATTTCCAAACAAAACAGTACACATGATAACAATATATTCTTCTCCGCATTATAATAAATAATCTAATAACAATGTACTTTTTTCCTCAAACAAAAAAATAAAAATAAAAACAGTGGTGTTGGGAGATCATTTCAGAGCGAGGGACATCGGCTTCGAGAACACCGCCGGAGCGCACAAGCACCAGGCGGTGGCGTTGAGAGTGAACGCCGACGAGGCGATCTTCTACCGGTGCGCCATGGACGGCTACCAGGACACCCTCTACACCCACGCCAAGCGCCAGTTCTACCGCGACTGCAACGTCTCCGGCACCATCGACTTCGTCTTCGGCGACGCCGCCGCAGTCTTCCAGAACTGCCGCTTCATCGTCCGCCGTCCGATGGACAACCAGCAATGCATCGTCACCGCCCAGGGCCGCAAGGAGCGCCGCCAGCCCTCCGCCATCATCATCCAGAACGGCACCTTTGTCGCCGACCCGGACTACTACCCGGTTCGGTTCGAGCTCCCGGCTTACCTGGGCCGGCCCTGGAAGGAATTCTCCAGAACTATAATTATGGAGTCCTTCATCGACGACCTTATCCAGCCCAGAGGGTGGCTCCCTTGGGCCGGCGACTTTGGGCTCCGGACGTGCTTCTACACCGAGTTCGGCAACCGTGGGCCCGGCGCCGTCGAGCCCAGCCGCCGCGCCAAGTGGAAGGGCGTCAAGAACATCACGGCCAAGCACGCCAGGGACTTTACTCCCGGCAGTTTCTTTAAGGGCGATTGGTGGATCAAGCGCACCGGAATACCGTACGTCTCCGGGATGTTCTCCGTCGTCGAAAAGAAGGATTGATATATGTTATTCTGATTTTCTTTTTTCTTTTTTGTTTTTTTTGGTACTGTTGATTTTTCTTTTTCTTTGGTTAATTTGTTTTGGTAGTTGATTATGATCATGATCATGATCCGCCGTCTGAATACACAGTACACAGATAACTACGTATATACATATATAGTACTACTATATATATACTACTAATTATAAGTAATTAGCTAATTTCGTCTCATTTTCTGATCTTTATTAGAAGATTGACAAATTGAAGTCCCTTTGAGGATTTTTTTTCTTTTTTTCTTTTTTCTTTTTTCTTTTTTTTTTTTTTTTTTTGCTTTCTGATCTCGAACTTTTCTGTATTAATTGAATATGTCGATCACAGTGTAAAGATCACAAGGATTACATATTTTGGTACGTTCTTAAGAACTTTAATTATGCAAGCCAAAGTAATTTTCCAAACTGATATTTGAAACAAACATAATAATTGCATGCCGTTCATGTATATCTAGTAATTTTATCTCTTCACGATTTTTTTTTTAAATAATGATAACAAAGATCTTTTGTATGTATTTAACACATATTTTTCAGAAGATGCTTCTATTCACAACTTTCTTTTACTCTCCACACCGCCTTCAAATTAAAATTTTCTTATTACAAAAAGGCCCTTAAATAAAATGACTATAAAAGACAATAAACTTAATTAAATAATAATCTTATTACAAAAGGAAAACTAATTGGGAGTATTTTTTTTTTCTCTACATACATCCCACATATCATTTTTCTAAATTATAAATTATTTTTATTTTAACAATCCATAGTTTTCACATTTTCAATGACTGTTTTAAAAAATTACGTGGAGATAGTTCAATTTTCTTTACTATTTGTTACATGAAAATTGTTTTTTCTTTTTTTTTCTTACTTTTGTTTTTTGTTTTACACTCATATTTGTTTACTAATCAATCTTTTAAGCAAACGTTTTAACTTTTTTCCATTTTTTATAATGTCAAACTACGGGATTTCTCCCCTTGATTCATTTTTTTTAATACTGACTCGATCAATATTCAATGAATATAATGCAACTCAGTTTACATTTTTTTATTTTTTATTTACCTTTTCATTTAATATTTTAGTTTTTATTTTCCTGTTGAACTTAAAAAAAAGTTCTATGCCTAAAGCTTCAACAACAACAACAAAAAATAAATAAAATAAAAAGATATAAACAAAAGATAATATTAAAGTGATAAATTAACTTAGGTGGGGTGTGTAATTAGAGGTTGTGAAGAGTAAACATGTGAGTGTGTAGAGAAAAAGAGAGGGTGTAAATAAAACTATCCTTAATAGTTTTATGAAAATAGTTACGGGTAGTTTTGGAATAATAGAGGTGTGTACAAAGAAAATTTTATCATTTGAAAATGATGAAGAGTATATAGTTAGAATGGGGCGTGGAGAGTAAAATATATGGGTGTGAATAGAACTACCCTTTTTAGAATCATTTATCCCTTATTTAGGCAGCCTCTACGGTGGAGCCCTAAAAAAATTACACTAGTAGAGTCCCAACTTTTGACCGTTTGATTACTTTTTCAACGGTCATATTTGTAGAGGAAACAGTTTTGTACAGTGCGCTGTACATTTTTAATATGGACATATACAGATCGGACTATTGAAAATTTAATCTAACAGTTCAAACTGAATGTTAAGCCGGTGAAAACTTTTGAGGGTTTCACCGTATAATTTGCCTTTTTTAGACCATAACTAGTTTTGTACCCTCGCGTTGCGAGGGGTAATAACTTTGTATATATAAAAAATCTCTGGTTGTGATAGTCGGATAATAATTTTGCATTGTACAAAAAATGTGTTTGTGATAGTACAATTACACATCACTATATGAATTTGTTTGTACGTTTATATAACTTTGTATCATACAATAGATATGTTATTGTGATAGTACAGTACTATATAGCGTATTTGAGCTGCCATGTCTATTTTTTGTTGTGGTCTTTTTTTTTCAGCTGCAAAATGGAAATTTTGAAGAAGTATTAGTAATTGAGGATATTATAAATGTCTTAATTTAAAAGTAGTTATGTTACTTAGTCCTTTGACGTTTTTTTGACTGTTCTGCTTCTTTTGACCGAGAACAGGTTATTGAAATATATGTTTAAAAGATTATGGATAAATATATGTTTAAAAGGTTATGGATAAATATAGGTTTAAAAGGTTAATGAATATATTTTACCATGTGGCTAATTTTTTTGGATTCGGTGTTTGCGGGTCGATTGGTGTTGGAGCTGATGTTGTTATTTTTGGGGGAGGGCTGAAATACCAAAGTAGTGATCAGGTTCTTTTTGGATCAAAATAATAAAATAATCAGAGAAGCTGAAGCTGACAACAGCGAGAAAAATGAAACATAAAGAAGAAAAACGCATTGGGAGATCGTTAGGCAAGACAAAGATCAAAGAGCTTTTATAAAACAACGGGAGAAGAAACAGGGGAAAAGATGGCACGGGAAAAAGTAAGATTTTGAATCAAAATTTTAAAACACGGATACCAAAAGATCAAAATGATGTTGAAAAAAAAATAGTAGAGATCAAAATTTTTAAAACACAGATACCAAAAGATCAACATGATGTAGAAAAAAAATAGTAGAGACCAAAAGAGTGACAGTCATGTTACTTGTTTATTGAAAATGAGGTAAATTAGATTATGAGGAAAGCAATATGGGAAAATCCAATAAAGAAGAATAGATGAAATTGGAATTTAATTGGAATAGGCACAGAGAATGCAATGTATTTGGATTAAAGGAGACCAAAAAAAAAGCATTTAAATTGTTTTGGTCAAGAGAATAAGCAAAATCAAAACCCAAATAAAAAGAGCTTATTCACGGTAATTTTTGGACAGATTCATCAAAATTAAGGAGGCCAAAGTTATTTTTGATCATCATTGCCACACAGGAAAGGAAGAAAAAAAAAGGAGAAGAACATTTAGGCTATTCTGGTTAAAGAAGATACAGAAAACCAAAATCCAAACAGGAAAGAGTTATTGACAGTAATTTTTACATAGATTACATGGAATTAAAAAGACAAAAACTGATTATAATGATTATTGCCACTTACCAAAGCTAAATAAAGATAGAATATGCTAGGCAAAAATAACTGCATTCATATATATGTGATCATAAAACAAATGAAAACAGATTCAATATATCATTCCTATATGCTAACAAAACAATGGAGAACGCAATCATAACAACAAAAACAGGTTTTTTCCAACATCATAACAAACAGTAAAAACTAATAATAGCACAGGAAACTAATATATCCAATAACAGCAAATATTAAGGAAATATAAGGAAGAATCATGAACAGTACCTGCAACGGTATCAAAACTGCCTTAAACAGAGAATATTAGCTACCCAAATCCACGCAGAAGATACAAAATTTAAAAGACTGAACAATAAGTAGGCAAAGATAAAATAGCACAGCCAAAATCTGAAAAAGGTTATGCCAAGTAAAAAAAAAGGAAAAAAAAGAGCATATTTAGACAATTATAATAAAAAACTATGAACAAAATCAGAATGCAAAGACAGAATCCACATGACTAGAAGTACATTTATAACAATTTCTAAATATGTCAAATAGCAGTAAGCAAATATAAAATAATGTTAATAAGCATTGCCATACAGTAAAATCAAGTAAACATAAGAAATATGTTATGTAAAAATAAACCACTATATATACTATTATGAAATAAATTAAGAACACAAAAGAAGACAACTATAGATCATTAAGATTTATTGACAATGAATAGGAATTAATTTTTCTAAGCACTATAGGAAATGACACATAGCGGTAACAATAGAACAAACCAGCACACTCAACATTAACAAAGAACAATTAAAACATCCAGATAGAAATCATTAATAGTACCTAAGATATTGTGAGCACTGCCCTAAGTAACCAATGTCAGCTAACCAAAGAGAAAGGAAAAAGACAGAACTAAGACAATGGAGCAATAAATAGGGCAAGGTAAAGAAAAGTAGTAAGTGATCAACACTGAGGTAGAAAGGGAACGATGTCAGGTGTAAGAGAAGAAAGGACATACAATACATACAATAAATTAACCTACGACAATAGTATTTTGCACATAAATAAAGACTAAGATAACCAATGAGAACATCACATATAATACAATTAAGTCGGTGGACAAATACTGAGGAAGGAAAAAAAAAAGAGAAAAAATAATGCAACAAAAGTATGAGAAAAAAAAATTAAGGAAAAAATCAAAGCATAATCAACCGAGAGAAACATCGACAATATGCTGCATATTCCGGACAATAAAAGAGGAAAAAATCCCTAGCTCATTTAATGCCTCTACAACGGAAAGCCACAGATCATCAAGACAAAAGTACAAAGCAAGATCATAGATATCACAAATCAGTACTACAGATTAGCTAACCATTAAATACAGAAAAAAATTGATTTAGGAACAATTCCAATACAAAATCGACAAGTACATAGATTTGCGCCGAAAAGGAGAAACGCAGCATTTACCTACAAAAACCAGCTGCGTGGAACATCCAAGCATACGTGTCTAAATCCCTCTACGGACAAACAAATAAGGTGCTGCAAGGAAGAAAACAGTGGAGAAGAAGTCCACAATCATTAATAAAGGGAGAAAATTTCCAAAATAAAAAAAATAATAAATTTTAAGCAATTGAAGAAATTTCCAGAATATTGACGCCGGTAAGAAGGGAGAAAGGGCCTGTGCAAATTTCCAAAATAAAAAAATAATAAATTTTAAACAATTGAAGAAATTTTCAGAATATTCACGCCGGTGAGAAGGGAGAAAAAGCCCATGCAAATTCCCAAATCAAAAGAGTAGATCATAAACAGTAGAGGTTCGGCAAAAAGAAGGGGAAAAAAGGCACATAACACAAAATATGCATTCCAGAACATTCACTCTCGTAAGAACACAGAAAAAACCCATGTAAATTCCATATCAATGGCCGAAGAGAAGAGGGGACAGAAGA